GCAGCCTTGGCGCCCGACCCGCCTTCCGCCGCCGGCTTGGCAGGGGGCCCGGGGGGACACGCAGAGCCCGGAAGGGCCCGCGACGTCCCCTGGTGTGATGTTCTAATGTCTGTTGTACTAACGATGCATTTAAATACTGAAAGGTCAAATCGTTTGTCTAGTTACTGAAATAATAAGTGGCTGAACCAGTCTCTTGAACTCTGAGCACAGATTTTTCAGATTTCTACTAAATAGATTAACTCCTTCTATTATTTATTAAAGGGTTACCATTTCTTGAATAATTGTTACAGTGCATTTTTGTTTGTACTTGATTTACACATTTCATACATTGACTTCATTTTTAAATAATAGCATTTAATTTTTTTTTTCTAATTGCTTTAGACTATGGCATACTGCTGGAGTGTTTTAGGTAATTAGTGGTTGACAACATAAATTAGGGTAAAGTAATAGCGAGGAGGTTGGTGTCTTAACTCTCCATGGATCTTACTGAACCTTCTAAGCCTCAGTTTCCCCCTAAATCAATTAGTATAGTGATTGAATGAAATACTTTACAAAAAGAGCTTAGCTGGGAACCAGCAGTTAGCGTAATGGCTATGTCGCTGGACTCCCACATAGTCGACCGCGGTTCGTGTCCCGGACCCGGTGGCTTAAAACTCACGCCAGGCGCGTGTGTGTGCGTGCCCAAGATCCCGAGAGGAGAATGGAGGAGAAGGGATTGCGGCGTGACCATCCCCCCTGGGGGTGATTTCTCGCTTTCTGTCTCTCTGTCTGTCTCTGTCTGTCTGGCGAGCGCACGCGCCCTACAGTGAAAATCTCTCAAAAAAAAAAAAAAAAAAAAAAAAAAGAGCTTAGCAAAGGGCCTGATTCATGGCCTTCTTTTGAGATCCTAAAAATGGAAACAAAGCTTTCATTAGGACCTGTTATGTATTTCTCACTTCAGATCACAAATATTTTAAATAAATTAGAATAGTCACATAGTCTTCAAATTCAAATTATTTCTTTTATCATACGAAGCTCATTTACTAGTCCATCTAAAGTTACCAAATACCTAATGTAAATTTCTAGTTAAGTTACATAAAATTAAAAATAACTTAAAATTCTCAGAATTTCAGTGGACAGTATTTTGAGAATAAATATGAACTTGCTTATTTAAAATAATCCTTTAAAAGGATTTGGAAAAGTCTTCCTAAAGTGACTAAACTGTGTTACATTAAATCCAAGTAGATTTTTTATCATTTCCTTTGTCCCTTATTTAGATATTTTTGTGCTGCCAGCTATGACAGATAAAAATTAAAAAGTGTAAAGTGTTCTTTAAAAATCTTTTTCTCACAAAACTGATAATTTGAAATATTTCATACTGTATACTAATTCTGCACATACATATACATTTCTATTTCTCAATAACATTTTTACTTAAATATGGCCAGTATATAAGGTAATTGACTGCTTTCTTATTCATTGTGTTTCAAAAACTAGTGAACAATGTGTTTTCATTATTTTGAAATAAAATGGCTATAATGTGATAACTCTTTCAAAAAATTTCCAGACAACAACTATAACTACTGGTAAAAATAGCTTGCTATTTTTATTTCATGTGTTTTAAATAAGATAAAAACCTTGAAGAACTAATATTTTAAAAATCACACTTTGGTAGGTAAGTTTGGTTCCTGGAATAAGTCTTGTTTCGTTTTTCCCTTAGATTCGAAATAAAATGATAGATGGAGAAAGTGGAGAAAAAACATTCAGAACTCTGGTTAAATCTCAAGATGAGGTAAGAATTATCTCAGACTTATTCTTAAAGAAAAATGTGTATTAAGAGAAATTAAGGGGCCAGCAGGTAGTGTGGTGGTTAAGGTGTTGGATTTCCACATGACACCAAGGTTCAAGTCCCAGACCTGGTGGCTTACATTCTCATTCTCTCTCTCTCTCTCATCAAATTGAAGAATAATAAAAATTAAAAATTAAAATTAATTTTTTTGTTTGTATGTTTTATTCCTTATAGAAATAGAAAACATGATATAATTTTGTGCCAAATTGCTTTAGACTATGTCAAATTTGAGTTAGTATTTAATAGCTATGTATTTTATATTATTGAACATATAGATGTTTTAATTATTGATTTCCATATATTAATTTTGTCTTTAATAAAAAGAAATATTTTTAGTTATTTGTTTCTGGCTTGATTCATTTTCTTTTTACTATTGATATACTGTGTATTTGCTCTACATTTAAATCTGAAATTAAACCATGTATGTACCCTGTAAATCACTGATTTATAAAATAAACTTAAATGCTGACATGTATGACCTTTTTAATGTATGAGACATATTTCATCCCATCTTCAGTCCAATGTGGAGTAAATACATTTATATATTTGATTATTTGAAAACTATATAAGATGGAAATATTTTAAGCCTGGAAATTTAATTTAAGCTTTTATATATATAACACATCCTTTCCCTCATAGTTTTATCCTTTCTCTAAATTCCTCAGCAGATCTTTCTCTAAGATGGATGTAGGATCTAAATATGACCGTTCCTTAGCTCACATCTTTTCTCATTTTAATATTATTATAAATGCCTATTAGGAGGACACAAGGGGAGGAACATCTAAATTTCAATCATTGTTGAATTTTAACTCTACTTAGACTTTAGCTATGTTTTTCAGCCCTTACTTCCTAGGGAAAAGATGTTAACCATTTAAAAGGTCTACCAACTTTTTCAACTTAAACCATTCTACAACTTCTGCCAGTTTCTGTTACTCTCACAAAACTCTTTGACCTGCACATTCTTTTCTCTGCTTGCAAAGAAAATTTTTTCTATTAACTCTCAGGTTATAATTTTTTTTTCTTCTTAATTTTACTGTAAATTTTTGGCCAATAAATGTTTTTAAATACATAGACTGGTTTTCTATTTTAAAATTTTTAGTTTTTATTTTCTCTTGAGCATGCCATTTTAAATGGATATAGCCACTAAAATTTGGTTACTATGTTGCTCTCCCTTAGAGATTTCTGTGGATGTTAGTGTTTTCATGTCAAAAAAGCTTATAATTTATTCTGAATGGATTCAATTTTTTATCAATACTCACTGCTTACTTCATAGAAAGGTCAAATGACAACACTGTCCATACATATTTCAATTTTAAGATACGTGAAATATACATCTATTTAGCTCTATGTATGGGGCATGGCAGAAATATTTAAAATATGATATTAACTTTCATTTTTTTGTTTGTTTGTTTTTTTTAAGAGAGGTTTTTGCTATAGGGTGCATGCGCTCACCAGAAAGACAAAGACAGAGAGACAGAAAGCAAGAAATCACCCCCCAGGGGGGATGGCCACACCACAATCCCTTCTCTCGGGATCTTGGTCACGCACGCACACACACCCAGCGTGAGTTTAAGTCACCAGGTCCGGGACTCAAACTGCAGTCGACTATATGGGAGTCCAACAACATAGCCACTACACTAACTGCTGTTCCCACAATACTAACTTTCAAACTACAGTGTTATTTGGCTTACTTTACCCAAACTAGTTGACTTCTATAGGGTGAGGTCAGATATTTATTGTGATGTGTACGATTTTTGTTGTAGATAATCATACAATCTTTCTTTATAATGTTTTCCATGTCTATGATATAGAAAACTCCAATGTTAGCACATCTCACAGTGTGTTTGGCCCAATGACCTACAAGGAATTATAAATTCCCCACATATCATATGTTGCACAGAGCTGTCTTCACATCTGACTATTGAATATTTGTTTAGCAAAACCGGTCTCAAATTCATTTATAAGCATTTTCTTCATAGTCATGTCTTTCAAGTATCCAGGTATCTGGAAAAGTGATTATATAAAATAAATAAGAAATTAAATTAATACATAATCATATTTATGCACATACGCAAATCCTCATTTATTATACTGTCAGTTTTATGGATACTAATGTTAGCATTGAATTAAGTTTAAAATATAATTAAAGAAGCCCATCTGCTTAAATTTATGACCAACTGAATATGATTTGTAGGAATTTGAAAAATAGTTTATTACACATACCCCATCAATAGTTCTTTGTTTATAACTATTTGCTTGGGCTAAAACCAGAATGCATTTACACTATTTTATGCAGGAATTTGCTGAAAATGCTCAAGCTGAATGTATATACTCCTATAACAATTTTGTTGAAAAGCTTATTTGAGAATATTTTCAAACTGAATAAGCAGTTGGAAAAAAAATTATTGACTAAAAAATAAATACTAACCATGCTTGGCTTTGTCTATTGGATTGCTTTACTGTAAATTAAATACTGAACAAGATTATGGTCATTTCTGCTGCTGACAGAGAATAACATTTTGTATTTTATTTCCCTAATTTGATCATCTTTTTTAAAATTTTTGTTATTATTCTTATTTTTTTAATTTGACCAGAAAGAGGCAGAGACAGAGACAGAGAGAGAGGCAAAGTGAGAAAGCAAGCTGCTAGGTCTGGGACTCAAACCACAGTCGGCCATGTGGGAGTCCAGTTCCCTTAACCACTATACCACCTGCTGGCCCCTTTTAACTTTTTTTTAGGTTTTTGCAAAAGGGCAAATGTGCTCACCAGAGAGAGACAGACAGACAGACAGAAAGAAAGACAGTGAGAGGGAATATGAAAAACCACTCCGTAGGAGGGATGGCCATGCTGCGATCCCTTCTCTTCCATTCTTTTCTTTCTATTTTGGTCATGCACATACATGCCACCAGATTTTCAAGCCACCAGATCCAGGATTCAAACTGTGGTCAGCTATGGTCAACACCTTAACCATTACCACTTTCTGGCCCCAATGTGGTACTATTTTTGATACTATTTTTCATTACTTGCTGAACATCATCAGTTTAACATAGATTTTTACACATAGTAAAATATATGAACATTATTTTCTCTATTCTTTTAGGAATTTTATCAGTCCAAAAACCTCCTCCTCATTCTTGTTCATTCTCCCCATCCATCTCCTAAGAACCCCCCCCCCACACACACACACAGACACATTCAATGATAGGGATGTTTGTGGTATAGAAGCAACATTGTGTATGTTTTATAAAAATGGATTGGCATCATACATTCTGCTTCATCTTGCTAATTTCTATACCTTACCTCATCATTAAGATTTATTGCTTCATCAATAAATTGTGGTAAATAAAAGTAATTACTCAGGGGTTTGATTACATGAGATAAAGACAGTAAGGTGCCTAACAGCAAACAACACTTCAGTAAATGTTATTATTTTGGCAAGGATGATGAAGCTGGAGCTAACTTAACAAATTAAAAGTTATATGTGTGTTATTGCTATACTTAATGAAAAAAAATGAGTATGTCTTTACTATTGTTCAATAGCTACTTATGTAAAATTACATATCTATGAAGTTATATAGTTCTGTACTTTCTCTAGTGGATTTAGGTGTTTCCTTAACTTTTTTTTTTTTGGAGTGGGGAGAGGTTTTTGCTATAGGGCACGTGTGCCTGCCAGAAGGACAGAGAGATTCAGAGAGACAGAAAGCGAGAAATCTCCTCCCAGGGGGATGGCCACGCCGCAATCCCTTCTCCTCTCAGGATTTTGGGCATGCCCACAAGGGCCCTGCTTGAGTTTAAGCCACTGGGTTCAGGACTCAAACTGTGGTCGACTACATGGGAGTCCAGTGACATAGCCATTATGCCAACTGCTGGTCCCAAACTTTCAGTGGCACTTAGTAATTAGCCTCTTGTGATTCTGTATTAATACTATAATATGGCTTAATAACAACAGTTATGTGCTGATTGTAGAGTTGTATCTAGACATACTGACTGTACCAACTTCATATTACCAATTACTCTTAGACATATCCTAGTATGAAAATATATGAGCCTTATGTAATAGTTCATAGTCCTGTTTCATTTAAAATTTTTTTCAGGAAATAGTTTTTCAACATTTTGAGGATAATAATTTGACATATATTATTAAGATTTTGTATTGTACTGATAAGCTCTTAAACTCTTCATATAAATGATACAAAATATAAGGTGATGATAATCATGTCAAACTATTTTCTAGAGATATATTGACAAAGGAAACAGGACATACACATGGACTCCTGTCAATGGCACAGATTACAGGTAATTAATTATCTTCGTGGTTATATTATGTAAAAGAGTGTTCATTTCAGTGTCTTCCTCCAGTTTTCAGTAAGCATTTTATCCAGCAGGTGAATATTAAGTCTTTGTATTTTAAAAAGCTGTCTTCAATATATTTTTCAATGGAAAAGTTACTGTTCCCACATTAAAATGTATTAACATTATGGAATCTGATTTTCATAATGGTAAAGATAGAAAGAAGTTAACAATATCAAATTTAGAAATGAAAACCTATGTGTTATGAATATATGTGGTATTTTGTATATTTTCATATGGAATAATAAATGTTGAGAAAACCTCTGTACTAATTCGTAGTAATTGCTTCTTCTATTTCTCTTTTGTCATTTAATTTATATTATTTATGGCTATATTTTTGTTGCAAGTTAACCTAAAAATTAAACGTATTCATCATTGTAGTATTAATATAAAATGCTAAGTTGATACAGTTCACACCTACACAGTGGCCGTTCTGTAATATCCTGACCCTTTCCATTGGCTGGGCCTTGAAAAATCGGACAGCCTAGTATCCTGTAATCTCTTAGAAATCCTTTATTCATCAACCCCTTTTGAACACTTCTTTTACTTTCCTGTCCTAACTCTCTTCTGAGCTCACACTTTCTTTGTGGTCATACTTCCCACATCATGATACCAGTTCTGAGATAATGCTACTCATTCTCTCTTCTTCCTTCACAAAGCACCATGATTTTGATTCTCATCGAGCACACCACACTATCCTCCTTCCTTCTTTTGAACAGTCATTTTCTCATTCCTGTAAGATTTCAGCTTCTAGCTCATTGTTCACTGTCCTACGTTTACGTAGACCATTGTCCCTCAAATAATTGTGACATAGTACACTGGTGTAAAGTAATATAAAAATTATTTACTAAAATAAATTTGGAAGGTGATAAAAACTCGAGTTTAAATTTTTTGTTACTATACCCCATAGACATAAAATTAGTCTGTCAAACTGTATTTTTTTTAATGCTTTATCAATGTCTGTATTTTACTGGTCATGGACTGGTAATAGTTTGCAAATAATCTAGGTCAGACCATTGAGGTCTGTATTTTACTGGTCATGGACTGGTAATATTTTGCAAATGATCTATGTCAGACCATTGGCCTGGATGAACTTCTCTAATACCTGGTATTTAGCTTCCTCTTCTCTAATTTTCCTGACATCCCCTACCTGAGCAACCAACTCTCAAAGTCATATTCATTAGCTCTTATAATGTCGGGTCTGCAGCTCCTTCATCATTTTAATTTGAGATGTGTTCATCCAGAACTCAAGACTACCACCTTCTAACTTGTCATTTCTTCCTGTTAGTAACCCAACCCCAACAATCCTTTGACTCCACCAAGACAAAAAATCCATTGCACCAAGACAAAAAATTCATTGCACCAAGACAAAAAAATCCATTGATTTCTTGTATCTTTCTTTGCCATGTCATTTTTATGCCCTTGAGCCCTTCCTTATTTAATGCAAATTCCTCGTATCTTCTCTTTGCTTTCTTGCACATACCATCCACTCCCTTCATCATACTCAAGTTTAGCAAACACCAGTTTGGCAAAATGCCAATCCCAATTAAAGTCAAATGATTATTAACATCACACTGTATTCCTGGTGGTAAAGGTGGCTAAAGCAAAGTACTCACCTATGAATATATTACCTAAAATTTGTGGCTGCTAATCTCGAGTAGGCCTTCATGGTGCCTAGAGAGCTCAATAAATGAGTAAATTTAGAATGCTTGTATATGGCTTTTGATCATTTCTCTAGTAACACTTTCTCATCTATTTACTTTTAGGATATCTTTACTTTGCATTTCACAGAAAAAAAGTAGAAGTGTTCAGAGAGAACTCCTACCATCATAGTATATAACTCTTTGCATCTGTATTTCCGTTTTCTATCTTTAGTCCCAACATAATAACAGGAATAATCTTAACACTTAAGTTAGAGCATTTCATTTCTTTACTCACAACAATAATTTGCAATAATTTGCTCTTATTTAATATAGAAGCCAAAGTCTGTCATGGCCATAAGCAGCCTAAATTGCCTGACCTCACTTATCAGCAGCTCATTGAATTTATCTCCCAGATTCTCTACTTTTTTTTTCTTTTTTTCTTTCTGAAGAGATTTTTTGCTATAGGGCATGTGCACTCGCCAGATGGAGAGAGACAGACAGAAAGCTAGAAATCACCTCCCGGGGGTATGGCTATGGCGCAATCCCTTCTCCTCCATTCTCCTCTCAGGATCTTGGGCACGTACGCACACGCGCCCAGTGTGAGTTTTAAGCTGCCGGGTCTGGGACGCAAACCATGGTCAACTACATGGGAGTCCAGTGACATAGCCATTACGCTAACTGCTGGTCCCCCAGATTCTCTACTGAACAGCCTCTAGTTATTTCACACTATCTTCATTGTTACTCATTATACACACTGGTACCCTCTGCCCCAGGGCCATTGTATCTGAAATTGCTTTTTGGGGGATAACTTCTCCCAGATATCCGTATGCTTATTCTTTCATGTTCTTCACATATTCACTTACTTTTTACTCTCCTCAAAAAGGCCTTCTCTAACAATCCTATTTAAAATATAAAGTGCCCCATCATACTTCCTATATCCTTCCTCAACTTCATCATCTCCACAATTTATATTCTGCAACTCATAGCCAATTTTTTTTTTTGAGAGGTTTTCACTATAGGGCGCGTGTGCTCACCAGACAAACAGAGAGAGACAGAGACAGAAAGCGAGAAATCACCCCCCAGGGGGGATGGCCACACCACAATCCCTTCTCCTCTGTTCTCCTCTTGGGATCTTGGGCATGCACACACACGCGACCGGTGTGAGTTTTAAGCCACCGGATCTGGGACGCGAACTGTGGTCGACTACATGGGAGTCCAGCAACATAGCCATTACGCTAACTGCTGGTCCCACTTATAGCCATTTGATGTTATATGCACACACAGATATATAAAGCATATATACAGAAATTTCATTTATACTGGATACCATTTGTCTTCTCTCACTAGTAAGTTTTAGGAGGGCAGAACTATTGCTGCTTCATTTACATTTGAATTGTCAGCTCACAGGACAGGGGAACATAGTAAGCACTATACAAACGTTTTCTGAATGGAAGAATTTTCACTCTGTCTCATCTTGTCAAATTCATATAATAGTGTCCAAAGGTTTTATTATAACAGTCAAATATGGCAGTCTCTGTAATGAGATATTAATATGTAACCTAATTAATTAGGCTATTATGGATTCAACTCTTTCTTCCTCAATAAAACCAAAGCAATTCCCCAGAATATACACATCACCTTTTGAAGGAGCCTCGTGTACAGAAGAGTTCTGTAGCACTCCAGTGTTTTCATCACAGCAACTGTCTTTGTGTTCCTGAAATAGCATATAGACTAAATAGAGAAGAACATATATATCAATGTCATTATTCTCTACATGCTAGTCTTTCTTCAGTTTCTGACACACTTTTAGACTTAATAAAACACACTAGAATGACTCTATTTATTATTTTACTTATTTTCATCTATTGATTCCTACCTCTACTTTCTATATAGGCATTTGTATACAGACACACTCTTAAGGTACATGCAGAAGCTAGTCTTCTTCCTCTCTCTTCCTTTATTATTGCCATCTTTCAACTTTTGGATAAGTCTATCAAAAGGGATGAAGAGAGAAGAATCTGACAGCCCTATTTTAATTGATAACTTCATGATAAAAGTATTGAGTGCACTGTATGTGGGAATGTGTTCTATGCCTTTATTGCTTACCTGAACAAATTCCAAGTTAGAAACGTTGGGTCATTTTGGCCCAGGCAATAAGTTAGCAATGATGGTTTGTCCTACCAGAATTATAAGGACACTGTGAGGTACTTTACTGACTCATTATGCCCTGCTGGAATGTGCTCATAATTCTCTCACAAACAGCCTTCACACGCAACCTCATTTCCTCAGACATCTTCTGATAGTATACAGTATGAGCAGATTGATATTCTCTCAAGTTTCTAGTTTGACGTTACTCCTTATTCACAAAATCTTAGTCTCTTCCTATTTTCATACAAGTTAAGTTTTGGACTTCCAAGCCAGATACTCGTATCATACATTTCCAACCCAACATGTCTGCCCTGTCATATCTACTGTTCCCATTGCTATATATCAGTGTTCTCCAAAAAAACCCCTCCAATTCCCTTTTTTTGCATAATATTCCTCACATATTCCCTTCCCAGTCTCTAACTTCGGGCCAGATTAAACCTACTTCCAAGAGCTGGGCATGATGCTGCACACCTGTATCTCCAGCTGCGAGACCGAGGATCAGACATGGTGAAACTTGTCTTTAAAAGCAAAAGACAAAACAAAATAAACCTACCTCCATTTTAAGTACTTTTCTGCATCTCTGTACAAATAAACTCACAAATAGCATTTTAGAACAAAAATCTCTTCTAATTTGGAAGCAAAAAATATGTTTCGTTTTAATAAATGAATTATCAACTATTACCTCCTAATGTATATTTCCTTAAGTCTTGATCTAACCTAATACTATATTTTGAAATATAGTAATCAATTATCCATTTAAATATTTTCTCTTTTTGTAATGAAGAGTTTAGTTTTACAACGATAAATGATTGTGTTATAGTCCATTTCATGGTGTTTATGCGAGTCACAAAAACATGGCATGATCTCTACCATCCATCTGGTGAGCACTTGCTTTATTAAAGTTTAATCTATGGGAGGAAATAGAGCAGTCTTGGTCTATTGGTTTTATATGGAGAGAGACCACGAGCATCGTGTAGGATAGCACCATTCACTCAGAAGGTTGCTTAAGATCTTATGTGGCTTATCTGTTGGAGAAATAACTGCTTGCAATGGAAATCATTAAATTAAGAGTAACTATTTTTCTATAGAATGGATTCTAGCTATTAAGAACAACCTAATTCTTGCAGGCCAATAAAATGTATACTTGACATGCCAGTTTAAAAATGTCTGATGTGTTTCTCATGGGCTTCCACACTATTTTTTTATGCTAGATGAGATGCAGCCCAGGCTTATAGAGTGATACCATAGCAGTTGCATGATATAATGTTATCGGTTTTAATTAGAAGTTTCTCTTAGCAATAAATGCTGATGGCGCAGTAAAAGTGTCTTGATTTCCCTTGAGAGGAATTGGTAGGAGACAATCTTCGAATGCTCTGTAATTCTGTGCTACATTTTATAAATGGCAAGTGAGTCATGAAAGGTCATCTTGCTTTCAGACTGATTACATTGCTTATTTTAATTTTAATTTCTGCTTCCACTTAAAAGAAGTTACCTATAAAAATGAATGTAGAAACTTTCAAAATCTATGTAACATTTTATTTCCTTGACCTTTCCCAAAGGGAAAGTCTGTGAATTACTTAATGATGGAGAAAGATTTGGGAATTGGAGGCAACAAGCATCCACTCATTTTGCTGTCTTTACTGCATCATTAAATTGTAGCAAATAAATCCTTGATTTTTATCTTTTTCATAGAGTGAGCTTTTAACATTTATGTTCATATAAAAATCTGAAATTTTATATTTTATCCTATCCTGTATTATCCATAAACAATATATAATGAGATTATAGTTTAGAAATTTATCTCCAAAGATGGGGAGGTATAAAGCTTGAATGACTTAAAGATGTGTAAATGCCAAGACTTACTCAAAAGTCTAGAAACATAAGCCTTTTCTTGTACATTACTAAAATTTGGGATAACTATTCAACGTGAATGTGAATGACTCAGTTGGTCATAATAATCAAGCATTTCTTTCTGAAAGTTGTTGCACTAGGCATCTTAGACATACCCTCTTTTTCTTTCTTTTTCTTTTTCGGCACCCATACCTCATAAGTTTCCTTTTAGATTCAAAGCATAGTAAAGATTATTCACAACTGCAGATGTGGATTTGGGATAGTTATGTCCTATACATATGCATTAGTGTGAGAGTAGAAGAATTACACAAATGTGATTGCGTTATTACCATCTGTGTAATATTCTGACACCTTTTAACAGCTCTTAAACATCATGTGTTTTATTAATTGGCAATTTCAAAATGAGTAGGTCACACGCCTGGCAGCTCTTTATTTTGAACAATTATTAAGACACGTTTTGATGACCACCTTGTCTGACATTTTTTACGTCTTAAAATATTCTGAATTTGGCCTAATGTTTTCTCTGGAGCTCTCTTTCAGCTTGGACAGCTGCCGTAAGAGTTCCTGTAAACTACTGAACTCAAGACCTATATTATGTCGTATCTGTAATAATCTACCAAATGATATGGCATATCCACAATAAATGAACTTGAAATAAACATTGTGCCTTAGTTGTGCTATTGGGTAAGAACCAGTGAAATGAGTAGATGATCTCTATTAGTGCCATAATAAAATCTAACTTTGCTCACCAGCAGACAGTGGGGAATGTGCCCAAGGTCTTTAAAACAGAGTAGGTATTTAACATCTAAAAAAAAAAGTATACAGATGACTTTAGATATTGCAAAGTAACAATGATAATTCTTCTATTTGTATTTTTAATAGTGTTTGTGTGATGGAAAGCATTGATATATATATATATAAAAATTAGATTAAATGGGGAATATCCAATTGGCATGATACATTTACTTTATTTAAACAGACCTCTAGTGTTCTAATTTTGTAAAAATTCTGGGTGTTTCAATGTCACTTTTGAAATATAGGAGGGACCTATGACGTTCCTTCCTCAGCTAATTTATGAGTACATTTTAGGAGGTCATTTTCCTTATGTTCTGATTCCTTCCGCTGTAGAGGACTGGGTGACAATGGACACCGAGACTGAAACAAGTACTCTACTTGCTGGATAGATTTTCTTGTTAAAGTAATATGTCTTCTCCTACCCATGAGGAAGATCTTTGGATTTTCCCAAGAACTTAATGTGTCTTTTTTTTTTTTTTTAAGTTATGTTTCATTTTTGTTTGTTTGTGTTTATGCTTCTCTTGTTTCTATTGCAGTTTGGCCTTGGTATTACCAACCTACAGTTTTTACTATATAAAAGCCAAAATAGAAGAGACAATAACTCAGGCCAGATGTAAGTACTGTGAAAGCTACTTCAGGGTCTATTTGTTATCACCTAGGATCAGATATTTAAATACGTCTAGATTTTGGAATGCCTAAGGCTTTACATTTTAGAAGGTGTTCTTACCAAATCTACAGCAATGATTCTAACCCATTCCAAACATGCAAGGAACAAGAAATATTCTACATGGCTAGAATATGAGCAGGTACTCCAGTCTCACTGGCAGTCCCCACCCCCTCCCCTGCCTTGCTATGTGCGCTCCTAGAATCATTGCAGTGCTATGTCCTCTGTTGCTGTCGTTTGAAGGGTCTGCTAGCTGGGAGGAAATGTTGCATATGCTAGTTATCAACATAGTCTCTACTCATGGCGCTGTGCTAGTAAAGCTTTTCCTTTTCTTACCTTTCCTTTCTTCTTTTCTTTTCATGCATTTGGCCAGCATACTACTGTGCTTTACATCAACATCTTCTCCTTTGTTTGAATAAATCACGTTGCAAATGGTCTTTGGCTTTGGTTTGGCAATTAACTCTCTTCTCATAACCCAAATTAATGTCTCAGTAACACACATGGATTAGTTTATTTTTTAAAGCATCATTTGGAATGTGAAGTCATTATTAATACTAGTGCATAATTCAAGTCATTGTTAATCTTTATTTTGTTTTGGGTGAATACTTGTAGTAAAGTAAATGACCATCATATCCTTTGATATCAGTCAATTATTAACCACCTAAAAGTATCCTGTTAGGAGGAATTAAAAAACAAAAATATGTATCTTTTACATCGACCAGAAAGTCAACTATAGCGTCTTTCATTTCTGTCACTTCATTTTTGCTCTCTGCATGCCTGGTGCTCAAAGTGCATTCTGATATATTATATATTTATATTTCCACTTTTACTTGATAGATAGATATGATGGTCTTTTAACAACCAGCAATTCTGCATGAGCTAGTTCTTCACTTGATAGGTAAGGGTGTAACTAGTGAGTCTGATGACAGGTAAATGCTTTTGTTTAGAGGCTGACGTCATTGGTATTGCACCTGCATTAATCACTTTGCAAAACAGACCCTTGAAATAATCACAGTACAGAGAGGGTAATCTAGTAATAATGGATAGGACATGCTTTCCATTCTTCAAAAATATGTATCTTTTTTTCCAGACTACAGCTGTACATAAATGAACCTTTGATCTATGCACAATATTTTTATTCAACAAAGTCATTGAATAAAATATTGTTTGTGACCCCTTTTGCTTTACCCTCTTTTTTTTTTGTTTCCCTGCTTTCTCTTTCTGATGGATTTTCACAGCAAAAAAGGGCAAACTGAAGGGCAAGTATTTTCTTGTTGCTCAATTTCTTTCTGTTTAGAACATTTGACATTTCCACTGATATTTCCATTCCTATTGGATATTATCCTCTGTGCTTCTCATTTGCTAGATTTTCCTTCATGATCACTCAAACCTTAGCAGCAAAAAAATGGGGAAAGAATATGCATGTATTTTTATATGCAACCTGTTTCACAGTCAAGTTTTTTTTCTGAGACTTAAAAACTTGTTTTTTTTTATTTTTTTTTATCCTTCCACTTAACTAAATTGTATCTAATATGGGAATGTTATTAATTCACTAAAGGCATTAATGAGCTTGTTAAAATCACTTTCTTTATCATACCATTGGCAAACTTTTTATATTGATATTTTAAATAAAATACCTCTGAGATAACATTAACATTAATCTCATTTTTAGAGATACTTTGTTATGGTAGGATTAATAAATGAGAAAATTGTAGACATAGCATTTTCTCTGATATAACTGTTGTAATTCATATTACGAAGTTAATCCATGTTATGATAATTATTATATTGGAAAGCATTATTGATGTATTTCAATTTTAGGGTGTAAGTAGTCTATTTTTAATTTTTCTTATTGGGTAATCTTTCTAATGCCTTCTTATTCTCATAGAATCTCAAGGTGTATACTCTGAATAGCTTATCTAATACTGTAATATTACCTTTGCAGATTCAGAAACCCTGAAGCCAGAGAATTTTGAAGAATCTGGTTATACATTCCTAGCTCCAAGGTTGGTTTTTTTTTTTTTTCCTTCTTCTTTTATAACTTGTATGGATGAGCAGGCTTTTAACAACAGTTCTGCACTGAAGTTAAGACTGCTCTGGCTTAATTCTATGCCAAATATTAAGTCAAAGGGAACAATTACTTTAAAATAAGAGCCTGCCTCGTAACCTAGTGGTTAAGGGAGCTGGATTTCACGTGACTGACCACAGTTCAAATCCAAACCTCCATGGCTAGGAAACACACTGGGCAGATGTGCTCAATCCCAGCACGATGGAGAAATGGAGAAGGGATTGCAGCATTACCATGCCCCTTTGTGGGGTACCTTCTCAAAACTCCTCTCGCTCTCTGTCTTCCTGGCTCTCTGTTGAGCTCATGCACTCTCTGGCAATTAGTTAAACACACACATACACACACTGAAATAAAATCTTATTTATTTATTTCAGATATTTACTAAGCAATTACTATGTGCTAAACAATGTGCTGACTTGGGGATACGGTGGTGAATGAGATAGGCATAGGTTTGGCTTTTGTGGAACTAATAGTACTTTTATCGGTATCAGAGAATAATGTATTTTTACTTGTGAGTACAAATACACATGCACAAAAGTATTCTATATGTGTGTGTATATATATCATATGCATGCATACAGATTGAGTTGTAGAAAAAGTCATAACACATTTTTGCACAGAATACTAGAAAATACATCATGACTTTCCAGAAAGCCTAATTTAAACATGCATAGAGCAGTAGAAGCATTTATGTGTACTTTTATATACACACCAAGTATGTTTTAATCTTATAACTGTTTATTTTAATACTCTCTTACAACTTTCTAATGCAGCATTTATAGTGAGCTTGTCTCAGATAATTTTTTAGAACATTATATTTTCTTCTATCAAATTTTATTTATCTGTCATATGCTCCCCATTATATATAATATATATCCCTAATGTACATCTTTTATTCCTACCTCTATTTTTCAGCAAATTTTGTTTTCAGCAGACTGAGATTCCTTTCTGTTCATCCAAAGTCATCACACATTTCTCTACCTTGCTTCCTCGCTTTCTCTAAGGAATTCTTTTCCTAAAATAAGTAAGCTAATCATCAACTTGTATGAAACTGATTTTTGTTAAAAAAACCATGCCATACAGAAAGTGTATCAGCAAGGTCTTCTCATTTATTCTGGAAGAACTTAGCAGTTTTGATAACACCAGTTACTTCCTTGCCACCTGCTGCCATGAGAAGGTGTCTTTAGACATCCCCGTAAGAAATGGTGGTTGATCTTCACTTAGCAGTTTTGATAACACCAGTTACTTCCATGCCACCTGTCTTTAGACATCCCTGTAAGAGATGGTGGTTGATCTTCTTAATTTTCCTTTCCTTTCCTTTCCTTTCCTTTCCTTTCCTTTCCTTTCCTTTCCTTTCCTTTCCTTTCCTTTCCTTTCCTTTCCTTTCCTTTCCTTTCCTTTCCTTTCCTTTCCTTTCCTTTCCTTTCCTTTCTCTCTCTCTCTCTCTCTCTCTCTCTCTCTCTCTCTCTCTCTCTCTCTTTAGGTTTTTACCATAAGAGTCATGTGCTCACTGAAGAGAAACAGAGGGAGAAGGAAAGTGAGGAATTACCCCCCAGGGTAGATGGCCAGATGGCCACACTGCAATCCCCTCTGCTTCATTCTCTTCTCAGGATTTTGGACATGTACACATAAACACCTGACATATTTTTCAAGATGCTGAGTCCAGGACTCAAAATGCATAGTTGGCTATGTGGGATCCAGAGCCTTAACCACCACACAACCTGTTGGCCCAATTATCTTAAATTTTCAAGTCCCAGACTGGTGGTGAAAAGTCCTTAGACTGCCTAGTAAACAACATTGATATTGTTTGTCTAGCTACAGATGCATGTCTCATACACTTTAGTCAGGCTCTACATGGTGTGTGAGTTTCTGTTGTTATCTCTGAATCATTCTGTTTTTTAGAGGGAGAGAGAGATTTTTGCTATAGGGCACATCTGCTCACCAGAGAGACAGAGAGAGACAGAAATACAGAAAGTGAGAAATCACCCCCCAGGGGGGATGGCCACACCACAATCCCATCTCTTCCATTCTCCTCCTAGGATTTTGGGCAATAAGCACATAGGCCCAGAGTGAGTTTCAGGCCACTGCATCTAGGACTCAAACTATGGTTGGCCATGCAGGAGTCCAGTGACATAACCATTACCAGCCATCAGCTGGTCCCTCTCTGAATCATTCTTAATATTGGAGAAATACCATTCATACAGCATTTGGCATTTTCTCACACTTCCATTGTTTAAATTAGTTTTACTTCTTTTCCTATCCTTAGTCAACAACTCTTCTACTGGTTACTTTGACATTTTTATAACTTTTGCCATTACTAAACATCAGAAGGGAAATAATATCTTTAGATTCCTTTAAAAATCAAACACAACCCAGCCAGCAAGAATAACAAACAACATGACATCTAAACTGATTGGTCACGACATTCAAAGTCTCTTATTGGTAGAGGTAAATGTTGTTTTGGCTTGGAATTTTGTGCGATTAAAGTTTCCAAAATGAAAGTCAAAGCACTTTGTGTGGTTAAAATACAGTAACTAGGGATCTGATGACTTGGCTTCTCCTTAGGGCCTGACCATTTGCTTGCTAGTTAGATTATTTTAGGAAAATCTTTCTACATCTTTGTATCTCAGCCTTTAACATGTTAAATACCTGGGGCCAGCAGGTGGTGTGGTGGTTAAGGAACTGAACTCTCACTTGACCAGCTGTGGTTTGAGTACTGGGCCCAGCAGCTTGAAAATCATGCCGAGTGCATGTGTTTATGGTTTTTTTGCTATAGGGCACGTGCGCTCGCCAGACAGACAAAAAGAGACAGAGAGGTAGAAAGCGAGAAATCACCCCGCAGGGGGAATGGCCACACCACAATCCCTTCTCCTCCATTTTTCTCTCAGGATCTTGGGCATGCATGCACACGCGCCCGGCGTGAGTTTAAGCCACCGGGTCCAGGACTCAAACTGCGGTCAACTATGTGGGAGTCCAGCGACATAGCCATTACGCTAACTGCTGGTCCCAACAAGCAGATGATTTTTGAAATACTTTTAAAATGGTATTCTAAGAAGTAGTTTTTTTATTAGTTATTTGCAATCTTTTATTTAGTCCTTTTAAAACTTTGCTGTCAGCTTCTAGTTCTAGATCATAATTTGTATATTTATCTTTTGACTGCCAGGCTAGTCTTACTTCTAAAATATCATTGCATTGTGGGAAAAAGTCAAATTTAACTCTGTCAACAACTAAATGACCATAAATCATGCTAACCTTCTAAACCTTACCACTAAGTTACATTTTTTTCATGAACCAAGCAGGTTTTATTTTGTTTTCAAAGTCTGGCATGTATTCCTCACTACTCTGGAGCTTTGTGTTTAGGTTATATCTTTGCAACTGAAAATACTATTTAATCGTGTTTTGTCTTGAATTGTTGATTGTTCAATCTTTTGTTTCTGTTACCCTAGTTATTTCAATTGCAAGCTTCTTGTATTTATGTTGCCTGTTGATATTCTGAATTTCCAAACATTTATGACTGCAGTTCTTAAACTAAGGTTTGCAGAACCCGTTTCAGATGATCAACATGGTTAAAGCTATTTTCTTTTTGTTTTTGTCAAAGTTTATTTATTTATTACTTGTGTAAGAGAGAAGGGGAGACATAGCACCTGATGTGGTACTGATACGGCAATCCACCCCCAGCTTCAGCCAGCTCCAGGTCAAAGGCACACACATGCACATTGTGCTCAGAGCGGTCTCTGAGCCAGCTCCAGGTCAAAGGCACACACATGCACCTTGTGCTCAGAGTGGTCCCTGGATATGAACAGGCAACTTTTCCTTATGCGTTGTGCTAAACTACCATACCACCACCAGGCCATCAAAGCTCTGATTTTATTAACATTTATTAACAATATTAAATGTTGTTTATATTTTTCTTTGTGTTGACATTCGTGCTAACAGTGCACAAACAATGGTGAGCAGGCTGGTCCCTTAGCACCTTAGCATGAATGAAGGCAGTGGCACTAAAGTTTACTGGTAGCCATGGTAATCTTCACTGGTCGGCACCCACATGAGGAGAAAAGAAAGACAGGTGCCTTTTTTTTTTTCTTCCCTTCTTTTTAGGGCATAGGGCATGTGAACTCATAAGAAAGAGACAGAGGCAGGGAAAGTAAGAACTCGTCCACTATCCCCAGGAGTGAGGGTCACACCCAGTATTTTAGTCACACACCCACATGCACCTGGTGTGATCTTCAAGCTGCCGGGTCCAGGACTCGAACCACAGTAAGCTACATGGGAATCCAGCACATTAACCTCTGTAGCACCTGCTGGTCTGAAGCCAGTTACACTTTATGGTACCTGATTGAAGCAAGAATTAGTCATTTTATTAAAGCTCTCCCCTTGAATGCATGTCTTGTAATATTCTGTGTGATAAAACGGGAAGTGCTATTGCATCCTAGACTAACTTGGTTATCAAAGAAAAGCAGGAGTCAGGCATGGTGCCACATGCCCATAATCCCAACTACTTTGGAGGCTGAGGCCTTAGGATGTAGAGTTAGAGGAGAAGACAGCCTGCTTGTTTGAAATTAAAAAAAGGGTGGTGTGATGGTTAAGGTGCTGGATCCCACATGGCTAGCTCTGAGATTCAAGCCCTGGACCTGGTAGCTTGAACAAAATGCAGAGCTTGTGTATGCATGGCCAAGTTCCCAGGAGAAAACTATAAAGGCAGATTGTGGCATGGCCAACCCCCCTGGGTGGAGAGTGATTTCTCACTTGCCCTGTCTCTCTGTCCCTCTTCAAGGAGTGCACATGCCCTAAGGCAAAAATCTAAAAATAAATAAATGAATAAAAATAAAATATTTGGAAAGAAAAGGAAAACAAAGGGCACTGTGTGATTATTCACATTACTGAACTAGGCATTTTTTTTTCATAAAATATTTTATTTAAAAGAATAAATGACAGATGAACTAGGGCTATTCAGATTTGGGTTTTGGTGGACATTTTCTCAAATGAATCAAATGAGCCCTTTCTTTGAAGAAAACAAATAAAGGTACTTGTTGCCATTGATCAAATCTGGACTTTCAAACAAAAATGAGAAAATTGGGAAGTGGTATACATTGCCATGAGCATGACAGCTTCCCGATACTTACAGACTCAGCTGTGATGTCAGTGGTGATATCAGCACATGCCATTTTCCAACATTGTGGAATGAAATGTATTATCATTGAGAAGTTCTGCGCTATTCATATTTTATAAATAACAAATGTATGATGTTACAAAATCATGGAATCCTAAAAGATTCACTCAAATTACAAAATAGAGCATAGTGTTTTTTATGTAAAATAATATAAGAGTTTATTGATATTATTTCAAATTCCATATTACAAATAACTAATTCCAAGTTACAAATAATTGAGTTTGGGGCATGTTATTAAAAAATAGCCATGATAGGGGACCAGTAGGTGGCGTGGTGATTAAGGCGCTGGATACTGCCACATGGCTGACCATGGTTTGAGTCCTGGACCTGGTGTCCTACTTTCTCACTCTCTCTCTCTCTCTCTCTCTCTCTGTTTGTGTGTCTCTCTCTCCAGTCAAGTTAAAATAAATGAAAATGAATAAATAAAATTAAATAAATAATTATTTTTAAAAATAGTTATGATATATGAAAGACTATTAAAACAATTATCTTTTCAGCTGCCTATCTCTATGAGAAAATATTTTCTTCAATTACCAAAAGAACATCTTGCAACTTATTCAATGAGGATGCGTATTTGTCGTATATTGGGTTGTTGAGAAAGTCATGACACATTTTTGCATAGAAATACAAAAAAAAGACTCTCCTGACAACCTAATATTAAGAATTAAAGATACATGCAAATATTTAAAATAATGCCACTTTTTTCACTAATATATTTCCTATAGTGATTTCTTATAAAATGTAATGGAGTTATTGATATTTTGACAAATAAATGTTAAAATTTGTTTTAATTTCTATATGCAAATTGCAGCTCTTCAATATATAAGAACAATAGTATAATTAGTATGACAAAACTAAATTCTTGAGCAAGTATTGTCTAGGGAGTAGTGTGTAATGTACATTATGTGTAATCCTCACTGCTTACTGGCAAAATACTCTTCTATGATGGAAATGGAGGTGACAAGACGTTCAATAGCGTACAAAGTCATCCACCTACTTTTTAAAAAAAATTTTTTTACTATATTTGATTGCCCTGTAAAGTTTTTTTTAGTCCTAATATCCTATTTTTTTTCCAGAGATTACTGCAATGACCTTAAAATATCGGATAATAACACTGAATTTCTTTTAAATTTCAATGAGTTTATTGATAGAAAAACTCCAAACAACCCATCATGTAAGTATAATTAATTTCCCAAATTGCTTCAGTGTGGTTATATCTAAAGTGGACAGATCTTGGTTTGAATTATTATGTGATATGATAATTCTATCAGTATGTTGGTATGCTGGTTTATTCATTTAACCATATGGGTTATAACGGAAAATGTGATCCTTAATTATATATATTAAAAATGCCATTTATTATTAAATACATTTTCAACCCATGATAAATACTTACAAATGGTTAAATGTAAACAGAGTATATACACCTTTACACACCTCAAATTTAGAAAATTTAATATTGAATGACCTTTTGAAAATTTTTTTATATTACTGCTGCTAAATAGAGGAAAACACACAACACATTTTAATGAATTAATTTATATCCTCTAATTACATAATGTGTTTTTAAATGGATAGAATAAAAAACAAAGTATAAATTTAGATATTAGTTAATGACTTTCTTTCTTCTTGATATTCCATTCCATCAGAGTTAACTTTGTATCTTTTTTTGTGTTTATGTGTGTGAGAGAGAGAAAGGTTTTTGCCTTAGGGCACGTGTGCTTGCTGAGAGCTGTGGTGGGAATTTCTTTTAACTTTCAATGAGTTTATTGATAGAAAAACTCCAGACAACCCATCATGTAAAATATACATTCATTTCCCCAAATTGCTTCAGTGTGGTTATATCTAAAGTGGACAGATCTTCGTTTGAATTGGTGAGGAGGGGAGAATGACATAAATGGTGAAAGAGAAAGTGAGAAATCACCTCCTACAGGGGATGGCCAAGCAGTGATCGCCTCTCCCTCATTCTCCTCCCGGGATCTTGGGCACATATGCCCACACACTTGGTACGATTTTCAAGCCCTTGGGTCCAGGACTTGAACCAAGGTCAGCCATGTGGGAGTCCAGCAATGTAACTACCACGCCATCTGCTGTCCCCTAACTTTTTATCTTATAACATGTTTTGGTAATTTCCCATTTTATGAAGTAAAATAAGTTGGAATAGATGGAAATTTTAGTAATTAGCTTTTAGCCATTATTTTTGTCTTTCAGATAAATTTGGATCATATGTACCAAGATTTCATAGAGATTACAGATCTCAGATAAATTTGGATCATATGTACCAAGATTTGATATAGATTATCAATCCCTGATTTTTAAAAATATTTAAAAATCTAAACTTGATAAAGCAAGTATGTATTATAAAATTGCTATCAGGGCCCAGCCATGGGTTTGCACTGATATCACCACCACTTGAAACACTGGAGCTACTTGGGAGGCCTGGATCTGGTCCCTGACCCAACCAAACAGGCTAGACATGGTTGAACATATCTATGGTCCTAGCTCACTGGACGGCTAGGGCAGGAGATCGCGCATGGCAAGACCCTGTCAAAAATACTGATCAATGCCTCTCTGTTTCTTCTCTCTTTCATTTAAAAAAAAATACTTTGATAAGAACACATAAAATGAAAATTGGAAAGAGAGGAAAGCCAAATGAATGGCAAAATTTACCTTAGCAAATTTTAAGAATTATTTTATTTAACTTTATTTATTTACTTATTTTAATTTGACCAGAGAGGGACAGAATGAGAGAGAGAGAGAGAGAGACAGAAAGCAAGTCACCAGGTCCAGGACTCAAATCATGGTTGGCCATGTGGGAGTCCAGCACCCTTAACCACTATGCCACCTGGTGGCCACACCTTAGTAAATTTAATAAGCAGAACAAGTACACATAATTGACTAATTTGTTCTTTCTCCTCTTCTTTTTACTTTCTTTCACTTTGTTTCTGTTTCCTCTTTTTCCTCTCTGTTTTTTGGTTTTTTGTTTGTTTGTTTGTTTTTAACATTTTTTGAGAACAGCAGATTGCATAATGGTTATGTTGCTGGACTCCTACATGGCCAAAAGCAGTTCAAGTCCCAGATCTGAGGCTTGAAAATTATACTGAGCATATGTGTATGCATGCCCAAGATCCTGAGGGGAGAGTGGAGGAGAAGGGATTGTGGCATGGCCATCTCCCAACTGGGGGTGATTTCTCGTTCTCTGTCTCTCTGGTGAGCGCACATGCCCTATAGAAAAAAAAAAAAAACTCCATCAGGAAGGGTTATCCAAAGTACAGTTATCAGAATTGAACAACTTTTTTCTTAAAACTGTCTCTTAAATTTAAATGTATTGCCTATGAGAAGAAGTCCTTTTCTAAGGCTTCCATTTCAGCAAAATTAACAAGTGGCTTCCAAGAGCTCTCTGAACACCTGTGATGGCTTCCTGAGTGCTGCATTAGTCATGGTTGAGCATGATGATTCTACAATTTTCCATCAAGCTCACGCTGAGCCAAAGTGATCTAAATGCGCTTTCATGTCACTATTTATTTATTTATTTATTTTTTTGGAGAGATTTTCACTGTAGGGCGCATGCGCTCGCCAGACAGACAGAGAGAGACGTAGAGACAGAAAGCGAGAAATCACCCCCCAGGGGGGATGGTCACGCCGCAATCCCTTCTCCTCCATTCTCCTCTCGGGATCTTGGGCACACACGCACACGCGCCCGGCATGAGTTTTTTAAGCCACCGGGTCCGGGATGCGAACCGCGGTCGACTACGTGGGAGTCCAGCGACATAGCCATTACGCTAACTGCTGGTTCCCACTATTTATTTCTTAATTCTACACAATAGGCGATAAGATTGTCAAATATTCTTTAATTGGATACCAATGTCATCATTTTTGCAAAGATGAATTTATCATAAATATTTGCCTTAGATTAATATGTAATCTTCAGAACACCATAAAAATTGGGATCATGGGGCCAGCAGATGGCATGAATGGTTAGGGCGCTTGACTCCCATATGGCCAACCATGGTTCAAATCATGAACCTGGTGCCTTGCTCTCTCTCTCTCTCTCTTTCTCTTTCTCTTTCTCTTTCTCTCTCTCTCTCTCTCTCTCCCCCCCCTCTCTCTCTATATATATATATTATATATATATGTCTCTCTCTGGTGAACACATGTTCCATATAGCAAACTTAAAAATAATGATAATATTGATGAATAAAATAAAAATAAATATTATTTTTAAAAAGAAAGAAATTGGAATTCTTTTTTTTTACCATCTCTATTTCCTAGGAAGTTATAAATATGTTCGAATAAAAGCCTTTCAGTATAGTCCTATTGTTATCTGTACTTCAATCTCTTAATTCATTTTATATCAACATTTAAGGTACCTTCTTTGCCCATAATAGCAGGAAATATTTGAAGTGTTTACATAAGCATGATATTATATAACCATAGAAAAGATCCTATAAAACCATTATTATTTTCCTGTGACAATATTATGTATTATACATTTTTCTCAGACATTTATCTTATGCTGTCAAATAAAATTAAAATTAACTTTAAAGGTCAGTATTAGTGATTAAAATCTGTGATCTAGGGCCAGCTGCAAGGCCTACTGGTTAAGGCAGACAGATCTTACATGGCCAACATGTGGTTTGAACTTGGACCTTGCAGCTTGAAAAACATGCCAGATATGTGTGTACCCAAAATCCCTAGGGCAGTGAGAGATGGAGGAGAAGGGTTTGTGGTGTGACCACACTCCATGGGGTGCTTCCTCCTCTTCCTTTCTCTCTCAAGGAACACATGCCCTCTAGCAAAAAAAAAAAAAAAAAAGAACAGAACAAAACAAAAACCCTACTGAAAAATCTGTGATCTATTTGTTTTTTTTCCAAAAGAGTGCAATGAAATTTGATTTTGCTTTGGAAGAGTACTTCATCCATTAGCAAATTTATAATTCTCACCAAATGTTTAAATTAATTTTTTAACTTACCAAATATTTATGATATAAAGTAGTTGTCTTCTCTATAGCTCCCCAATTCCTAAATGTTGGTGATGTGTGTTGCATATGAAATTGTAATGGTTATTACTAACGTTCTGTTATATATCATATATAACTAACTGTAGGCAACATATTTAGATATTTTAGACATGAAACATAATGAAAGTAAGAATGAAATTATAATATTACTTGCAACCTTGGTTTATATGACTAATTAGAGCAATTGTCCAATTTGTTTTACATGAAAGGATTAGAAACAAAATATATCATTTACACGAACGGCCCATTTTTAATTGATTTATTTCTTAAAATAATGTAATAAAAAAAGAGAGCTACTAAAATGAATTGAAATGCAGTTTAAAATATGGATGAAATTGATCCTTTATTTCCGGGTGAAAGATATGTTAAAATAAACAAAACCAATAAAAAAGTTTTCAGCTTATCCCATTCCCACCTCTTCTAGCAGGAGACTAAGAGCATATACTTCTTACCTGAATAAAATGAGACTTGATCATAAATCGGACGTTTTGTAAGTTATCTGTAGGTTATTTCATTTTCATGGGCTTAGAGCAGTGGAACCAAGAACAAGGGAAGAAGCAGTTTCTGTTTTAAAATGTGTGTTAATTGGGGGCCAGTAGATGGCGTAGTGGTTATGTTGCACAACTTCCCATGGGCAATCCTGGTTCAGATTCCGCACCTGAAAGCTTGAAAATCATGCTGGGCATGTGTATGTGTGTGCCCAAGATTCTGAGAGGAAAACGGGGGAGAAGGGGTTGGTATGGCCATCCCCCCTGGAGGGGAGGTGATTTCTCACTTTCTCTTTCACTGTCTCTGTCTCTCTCCTGCGAATGCATGCATCTTATGGCAAAAATCTCTCCAAAAAAAAAAGGAGTGTATTAATTGACCTTTGGTGTTCATCATCTGTTCCTTCAAACTTGGACAAGCATGGTCTTTGGTTACTCCAGAAATGACAGCCTACAGCCTGTGCTCCTTACTACCAGTACATTCCAAAAGCCAGTCATAATAGTGCTGATCTGTACTTACATCCCTGGCCTGTCTCTCCCAAAAAAAGACATCATGTTATATTTTTCATAAAGTCAAATTTGTTTCAAAATATTTTAGTTCTGATAATTGGGGTGGATGAGAATCACAATTCACATTTCATTATAAATAATGAAGGTGAAAGTAGAGAGTAACTTTTTTTTTTTGAGAGAGGTTTTTGCTATAGGGCGCGTGCACTTGCCAGACAGAGAGAGATAGAGAGACAGAAAGCAAGAAATCACCCCCAGGGGGGATGGCCACGCCGCAATCCCTTCTCCTCCATTCTCCTCTCGGGATCTTGGGCACGCATGTACACACACCCGGCATGAGTTTTAAGCCACCGAGCCCAGGACACGAACCGTGGTTGACTACATGGGAGTCCAGCGACATAGCCATTACGCTAACTGCTGGTCCCTACTTATTTTTTTAACAGGACAATTTCAGCATTAACAATCCTATAGGAGAAAAAAATATATATATATATGTTTATACGTGTATATATTTATTTGTATTATATAGTTGCATATTTATATGCACATATATATGAAATTATATATATATAGGTATAACCTACCTAAAATTATCTATGAAATGATGAAACTATCACAGAAATGACAGAGAAAGCAGTAGGACTACATGTAGAAATCCATGAGGGTTTGGAATCACCATACTAACTTACAGTAACAAGAAAGCAAAACGTAAC